ATTACGGAGGCTGTAAAATTTTTATTGGCCGAGGCCCACGGCTCGCGGAGCGCGAGGCACCCTTACAAAGTAAAGAGGTAACTCGGCCTCCTCTCTTGATTCCATTCTCTACCCCCTCGCTCTCTCGCTTCCTCCCTTCGTTTACGACACACTTAAGGACAGTCCTTAGACTCGAATCACGCGGTCATATCGATAACCGGAGCTCCCACCAGCCACCGCGATATCTCGAATGCTAAAAGCATTCTTGAATAATATTTAACGACGGACCAGGGAAATTTTAACGTCCGCGTGCCCCATGGACGATCCAAGGGGAACGGGTCCTCGTTTCGTGACGGTGATTTCGAATCTTCTGTCTCGTTGTAACAATTTTCGAAAGGCAGACGTTCGCTTCTCGAACGCGGGGGTAACCCGAAACCCTCGAACAAAGGAATAGAATACAATCTCTTGCCACTTCTAGTCTACTATACAAAACAGATCGATACCACGTCTCTGCCTTCCGTCCATTGAACATAATATTTTATGTCGCGAAAGACAACCACCGCGATTGCATTTGATCTCGAGCTGGATGTTTTTGTAAATTCCCGAAAACCTTGTTCCAAAGAGCGTGGAACGGGATCCTCCCTTAAGCCAGTATCACGAATTGCTATTTTCACGCGCCTTCCTCGAACGCGTGGAAGACTGCGGATGGAAAAGAGGAAGAGCAGGAGAAAGAGGGTGGCGAGGCTGTCCCAGAAGGACCGAGACGCCCACGGAATATCAACGACGACGTCCAGCGTCCAGGACAAAGGGCGTTATTCCTTCCGGTGGCGCTCCCGGAAAGGGGAAGATACATCAACTCCTGTGTCATATAAAAATGTGTTTATGCGCTGCACACGAGGAATGAAAAACACTAGAGACCCTTTCGGGACCCGCTGAAACAAACAGCTTCGACGAATTTCTCGCCTTTTTCCTCGAAAAGGTTTCGAGAAGGTATTTGATCGATTCGCGTAGCAAGTTTCGAACGAAATTCGCCTCGAGGGATGGTACATTTTTGAAAATCATCAAAACAAAATCTGAATGGAAAATCTTGTAAAAATAAACGTTGAAATAAGGGAGGGTAAAATATCGCGAGAATTTTTCGTGGACCGGATTTCAGAATCGGCACAAAGACACGAAAAATCTAGCGTGGATGGAGGCTGTGAAAGGGACGCGCGAAGGTAGCACGCGGAAGAATGGAGTCGACGGGGCGAAAATCATGAAGACCGGAACCGGAAACGAACCTCATCGTTATACACCGCCGTGATGTTAGTTCCTTAAAGAACACGGATTTGCTGGAGAAGTCTATTCCACGAAAGAATAAGGCGAACAATGTCGAGATTATTAAGATTTCGTAAAAGTTTTGCAAGCCTGATTACAATTACAATACGCAAACTTTTTCTTTACTACAGTTACTTTCAAGTTACTGATAGAGAAATGACCTGTTAAACATTTACATACCCCTGATATTATTGATCGATTTGTCGTTTTCTTTTTTCGTTGAAAAAATAAAAGAAGAGAAACTGCCCGAACCCAATACGTCCGCGAAGGGAAACTAAATAAAGCACGATTGGTTCGATGGTTTCGCACAATATCAAGAAAGAACGCAGGGACATTGCTTGCATCGCGAACGCAGACGAAGCACGCGAAGTCTTTCCGTACGTAAGGGTGGGGAAAACGACCGGGAAGGGAGAAGAAGAACGATCGATGCAAAGGGCAGAGACGTCAGGATTTGGGATTTTCGCACGTGTTTCCAGCCCCGTCCACGCGATTCCCGTAATCCCGGGTGGCCGTTCAGCCCATCCCGGTCGGAGGCTCGCACTCGAGATTTCTTTCTTTTCTCCCGTGTAAAAGGAAACGGAATTGAAATCGGCTTTTCGAAATTGCGCACCGACCCCGAACGTACGACTCTTTCTCTTTCTCCTTCTCTCCCTTTCCATCCTCCCTGGAGAAGGAAATGCAAACACGGCTTTGCTGAGCGTGCAACTCGATCGAGAAACGGGAAAGGAGGCCCTCTATCGCAAACGATATATCGTGGATTTACAAGGGCGCGAGAGGGAGACGGTATATATCGTTGCCCTTAGGATTTCTACCCTCGGACGCGAATCCCGAGCAAACCGACAGACGACGATCTCTTTGAACTCGGACGATCCCTTTAACCCGATGCATTACTAGAGTAAACCTTGCGCAAGGGCAATTTAAGCGGACAATTTTCGAGGAAGGAACCGTTTCCAGGCTCGCCGTCGGTCATAATCGTTTGTGAGTGTTTAAGAAAACGATATTATACAAAATCGTGGTAGAGATTATTCTCCGTACAAAAGTAAATCGAAAATACAGAAATACTTGTAAATGTACTTAAGAAATTGAGTCCTATGAAAATGTTGGTACACAGGATACCAACAACAGTTTGTTAATGTATAAAGAGGGATTGTAGAAGACAATCTTTCTCTCAACTAGACTAAATGGGACTGTTTATCTTGACTTTTTACGGAATGAGCTTCAAAAATTATTGCTTCATGTACCACGGTAGGAAATTCGATTAGTTAGTACGTAGGACATTTTTTAGTTATTTTAATGTGTAGATTCGCATAGTACACAGTAGAATTTATTTATATGAGATTTTACACTAGATCACAAATCGTACGATAAATTGAAACAGATCCTTAAATATTAATTATAATTAGCAGTTTGTACAAAAAATAGCGTTGAAAAATATGCTGCACATATTAAGACGAATTGACTCTGAATGTTACTAATTCTGCTAATATAAATCACTGTACTTGACGTCATTTGAAAGTGATTGTATTATAAATCGCTGAATTTACCTTGCCATCAAACACAACACCGCATTACAGAGCACAAAAGGGTAAATCAATGGTGGCGCCCTCCTACGGGTACCCATTGAACTGGAATGACATACGATCTATATTCTCAATACGAGCTATTGTTTTTAAACATGCAACATTGAAGTCAATATGCTATTAAACTTACACGAACAATTCTTCTATTAAATATTTGCAAACTCACTCTTTTAACTACGTCAATACTGCATTCTTGAACGTCACTGATATTTATGATGATCTGTTATTTATTTTTGATATTAACTTTGTTTAATTATTTAATGCCTTATCCAAACTTATCAAGTTTAATATCGAAGAAATAATTATATCCATTTTTAGCACACATTTTTCTGTTCTATTTATTTTACAAAAAAAATATAATAAATAAAATTAAACTAAAACGTACGAAAGTCGTATTTACATACAAGATAATTAATGTAAATGTCCTTACTTATACGCATGAATAGCACTTCAACATATTACAAACATTAAAATATTAAATTAAATTGATGGCCTGCTTCCACTTTATTTGCATACATGTACCATAAAAACAAATATTTTGCATTTGTTACTTGTTGCTAACTTGTTTTATATTGTTTAATATAACTGAACTGTTTTTATATAAACTGAGAAAACTATATATGAACCTGTTATTCTCACATTCACATTTAATTATCTTGTGTATAAATTTGCACATATTCACAAGTGTTTCACATCACTATACAATGGTTTTTAGAACACTGTGAAGTAGATTCAACGACAGCCCCAGCTGAACTGATGTTCCCTTCTTTACTTCCTACGGAGAACAGCTACGTCAGGGTATACCTAATATATCTCCAACCAATCGTAGAGAAGTATCAGCCAACCCCTGGAGCTACGTTCTCCAACACAAATGTTGGAAAGGGACAACAGCTTTTGTAAAACAGACTGTGGCAACTATGAGACGGAGCATGCTCCGTTGGAATATTCTAACTCCTACTAAAAGGGGTGTACCCTACCAATTCTAAATGGGAAAAAGGGAAGGGAGCGTATCTTCCATCACCAATGCTGAAAAGGGTCAATACGTTTTATAAAACAGACTGAGATGATACAAAGACGGAGCATGCTCCGTTAGAATATTCTAAACCCTACATCTAAAGGGGTGTGTCCTATAAGTTCTACGTGCATACCAGGAAAAGAAATGACCAAAATGCAACTGCACTCTAAAAAGTATATTTTTCTTCTCATTTTTAGGAAATTTTTGTAAATTTATTAAAAATATATGATCATGTATTTTATAAGATCTTATAAAATCATGAATTTATTTATCAAAAAACAAGCACTACCAGAAATATAAAACATTAAAAACGGATAGTCAATATTTTTCCAACTGCAACACCCTTTTTTAACAGCTACCCCTTTTTGGGATCAAAGGGGTGATTGGTACCCCTTTCAAAGGGGTTAAAATATAAGGGACTAAAGGGTGACTTAATGTAACAGAAAAAAATGTTGGACCATATGGGGTTCTATCTACACATTACAAATGCTATAAAAACGATAAATTTGCTATACACGACAAAATAGTTCAACTGTTTACAATTAGTATAATATAAATAATACGATTTATATATATTCATATGATACCTAAAAAATTATTAACCTACAGAAAAATAAATGTTTTCTAAGATAACATTTACTAGAGATAAAATATAATATTTCTTAGAATTTTAAGTAATATAATACGTAAAGGTAACCTCACTCAAAACAAAAGTAGAACATAACCTTAAAAACGAAATATATTGAAAAAGTGGATGATATTCAATAATTTTCCACATAAATATTAAATCGTTTATAAATCGATACCATGCTATGTACACTTTTAATATACCTTATAGAAATTATTTATTAATTATTCGTTATTATCCATATACGTACAATATATTGTCCAAATTTTGTATCACAAATCATATAAAAATAAAAATAACTACTAAGTTTTTGGAATCAAATAATATTTTAGATACTGTTTCCTTTTCCATTATAAAACAATAAAATATTGTTCTCTGCAATTTAGTTTTTGTTACAATAAAATAAAAAGCTTTTCTTTATCGACGATTACTTACAAAAGATACTAACGTAAAGTTGATTCTAACCTTTGTCCGATGTGTACAATTATGAGCTGTCTGCTAGTAGACAGTGAATGATATGCAAATTAAACTAATATAATATTACTAAAAAAATGACGTTATATCATTTTGGAAATTGTTTAGCTCTGGTTTATGTTCCATATTATCTTACCTACAAGTATTCAGGCTTGTAAGTATATTTGATTTCTTTCTAACCTAACTATAGTTGTGGTTATACGTCCTATTAAATTTATTTTCACATTATAGATTTTACTTCGTAGTAATTCATGATAATATTGAACGGTTAATTGTAACAATAACCGAAATTTTTAAGTAATTATGATATAAATGTAATTTTTCAAAAACGTGGTACAAATTTTCAGATCTGAATATGGTGCATTCTGGAAATGTATTCAAGCTGGAGGTATTTATATTTTTACACAACTAGTAAAAATGCTAGCGCTTGCTACCTTCTTTCCTACAGCTGACAATGTAGGAGAAGAAGATTTCGACATAGTAGGCGTACGTATTTAAGTGAATATGTCTATGTTATAACAAAAGTATTATCGCCACATGTATTTAATACAGAAAAAAATTTTCTAGGAATTTTTAAAGACTTCCATAGATTTAGCTGATTTAGTAGGAATATTATTAGTATTGAACAGTATACCTGGTAAAGGACATGCAAAAGTTTTAACTGCTGGAATCGGATGGGCAGGCGCTGAAGTACTCCTCACCAGATTTCTTCTGCTATGGGTCGGAGCAAGAGGTGCAGAATTTGACTGGAAATACATTCAAAAAAGTCTCGAATCTAATATTAATTTAGTAAGTACCATAACATTAGTATTCTATAAAAAATGCTCTATTTTCAATATTTAATTTTCACTATGTTTAGGTACAACATATAACCACAGCAACACTTGTGTGGTTATGGTCGCGACACGATTTAAAACGAGGTTTAGTCCCTGTAGTAGTTAGCATGCTTGTGCTTACTGTCTACAGACCATTAATTTTAGATTTCTTCACGATGCTTTTCCTAACTTGCCCATCTGTAACACTTATTGTTAAAGCTATTACTACTTTTGTCATGGGTGCTACAACATTACACATATATGCAGGCCTTGCTCATTCGATTGGTATCTTTTGAAGAATATTATAAATATTTTTTGAAACATTCATATTATTTGTTTTCATTTCATGCATTTAATATTAATGTATGTATTACAAAATAAATCTGTTGTGGTAATAGATTACATGGTTATATTTTAACCCCATTTATCAAATACTACTAAGAATGCTTTGCAAATATTTTTATTTAAAAGAAAAGAAAAGAACGTTCGCTACATATTCAAATTGAAAAGCTAACAGAAGTGAACTTCCGGCGGAACGATTAAACGGGAGTAGAAGTCCCTACGTATGCATACCTTCCACTGGATCTAATCCTTTTTGGTCTGAATATGTAGTCTCAACCAATAACGTGATGGTGACACGAATATAGTAATATAGGGATTAATACTATATTTTAGGTATTTCCCCACGAAATAATTGTAGGAGAACTAACGAGAATTACTACAGTTAAATTCAAGAAAACTACGTACTTAACTATAATAATAAAATATTCCACGGGATACAATCTCAATCTTCCACGGCGTGAACTAAGACTAAGGGACAAACTAACCTGACGTGACTGCGTCGCCGTTTCTTACTAAACTTCTACGCGTAAGACTTGCGCGATCGACATGCGCACTAAATTACGCGGCATATAAAAGCGTGTCTTCATGTAGCAACCACTATATGAAGGAGGTGTGTAAAACCTCAATTGCATGATATGAAACAGCATTCCTTGGCAACGTCCAATTCTATACCTTGTTTGTGCTTGCACCAAATTGTACTATCGCAATAATATACACATAACCTTAACTAATACGTTAAAAGTAATGAATATGTAGCTATTTGCTTTATAATTTTAATATGCCATTGACATTATACAACACACATAAAATATTTGTTATTCAAACATGTTGTTCTATACAATATTAATTAATTTTATGACATTAAATTATTAACTGTATAGTATGTGTACACAAATTATTTTCTTCGTGCGTATTTAAAGTAAATTATTATTCGGTCTTTGTGTTTTTAAAAATGGATATTCTAAAGGCAGAAATAATGAGAAAACGCAAGCAATTGGAGGAAAGCAACATTCTGGTAATTTATACAATTCTATCATATCTTCGTATTGTATATTCCTCTAACTAATTAAATTTTGTCAATGTTGCAGCAAAATAACAGAAAGTATTTTAAAAGGGGAGAGTTGATATCAAAGGATAAAGAAGCAAAAGAAATACAAAAGACTAATGACGAAGATGTTAAAGTTAATGCAACTCAACAGCAAGAAGAATGTATAACAGATGGTAGCCCCGAACATTTAATGTTACCTAGACATGAAGTCATTAGAAGATTACGCGAAAGAAGTGAACCTATATTATTGTTTGGAGAATCAGAAATAGAGGCATTTAAACGATTAAGAAAATGTGAAATTCTAGAACCCGAAGTAAACAAGGTAAAACTGTTGTTTTTGTAATTTGCAAAATGCAGTAATGCCCACTTAAGTGTCCGCGGTCAAGCGGCTTCGAACATCGAGCGTGTCGAGTGTAACTTGACACCAGTCGTTATCGATACATGGTTTCGGGTGCCAGTTATTGTATCCCACTCGCACTTATGCTCTTTCCTTATCTCCGTTGAATTCTGAGAAGTAACCATGCCCACTAAAATGACCGCGGCCGGTCCCGAGCGCGGACGCTTAAATGGGCACTACAGTATTATGAAAGCAATCTTTTTATTCTATAAAATGCATTCTAAATTAAAGGGGTTTAGAAATGATTTTCAAGAAGCTATGGAACAAGTAGATCAAGCATATTTGAATGAAATATTATCTTCTTCAAAACCACAAGATCGAAATGGAAAAGGAGACGTAAATGTACCAGACGAAGGCGTTACTTACGAAGATTTACAGAAGATGTCTGTTAAATTGAATAAAGGCGATAGAGATTTTGATTTAAATGTCATTACACAATTCATACAATTCTTAGTGCAAATGTGGGGCAATCAATTAAATAGTAGAAGTACTGCTGAAAAAATGAGTACCAGAGGGAAAATGGCTAGCGCCACTTACGCGCAAACACGAGAATATTTGAAACCTCTTCTTAGAAAATTAAAAAATAAATCTCTGCCAGAGGATATTACTGACAGTTTAACTGATATTGTAAAACATTTACTTGAACGCAATTATATATTGGTAAGTACACAAATTTGATACATTACATGACTTCAGTACATGTCTAATAAAAATAATTTATTTTAGGCGAGTGATGCGTATTTACAAATGGCTATAGGAAATTCGCCATGGCCTATTGGAGTAACTATGGTTGGTATTCACGCACGTACTGGAAGAGAAAAAATCTTCTCCAAGAATGTTGCACACGTAATGAACGACGAAACTCAAAGAAAATATATTCAGGCGTTAAAAAGATTAATGACTAAATGTCAAGAGTACTATCCCACAGATCCTTCCCGTTGCGTAGAGTATTCAAAAACATAATACTTTTATGTAAAATATGTAGATAAGCACACAATATAAGATGTAAAATATTTAACATAATGGCTGTTTCTCATATTATTGTTACAATTACATTATTCTGTACGTAAAAATAAATTAGAACTATGACAAAAGTGTTTGAATATTCCACTACTGTTTTATTATCTTTTTGTATTATTTACCTATAGCGGAAGTAAATTCGTTTGATTTCTTTACTGCAGCTTGTACTGCATTCATCATAGAAGCTCTGCAAATACAATAAATAAAAATATTATATACAGGTATCCCTCGAGTTACGCGATTTTTCACAATAGTTTGTATATATTTCAGAATATTTCAGAAACTAATTTTGAGTCTCGACTTACGCGGAACCAATTAACCGCGTAACTCGAGCGATACCTGTAGTATAATAAATATAAACATTTTTTCTATTGATATCTTACCTAACTTGACCACATTCCATGGCATGAATTCCTGTAATGGTCGTCCCTCCTGGAGAGCATACTTCATCCTTTAATTGACCAGGATTCTTACCTGTTTCTAATACCATTTTGCCAGCTCCAACTAATACTTGAGCTGCAAATTTTGTTGCCATAAGTCTTGGAACACCCATCATTACAGCACCATCTGCCAATGCTTCTATAATAAGATAAGCCTGAAAAATTTGTTTTAGATATTTTACATGCTTAAAAAATAGTTAAAATACTGAGTTGTAAGTACTTACATATGCAGGACCAGAACCTGAAAGGCCACCTATAGCATTCATAAGAGATTCAGGAACAGCTTCAGCTATTCCAATATGTGACAGTAATGCTTTTATCATATTTGTCTCTTCAATAGTTGAGTTCTTAGAACAATATACTATAATATAAAAACATTATAATATATTTTCATGTACATATATACTTTGCAACAAAATTAAAGGATCATTTAAATTTATAAAAAATTTTTATTCACTTGTTATTCCTTCACCAATCAGCAATGGAGTATTAGGCAAACATCTAATTATCTTAGGATGTTCAACAATATGCTTGAGTTTCTGAAAATATTTCAACATGTGATTTCTATTTACTCCTATACACTCATAATTATATCAATTTTTTTTTCTGTTCTTACATCAGCCAATGTATCTAATGAAATGCCCACAAGAACAGAGACAAAAATTGGCTCAGCAGGCTTGGATGACATTGTTAATTTCAGATCATCAAGTGCATCATTAAGTATTTGTGGTTTTACAGTTAAAAATATGATATTACAATTATCAAATACTTCCCCATTTTTCAATGTGGCATGAGCACCCAAATCATTCCAAAACTTCAGTGTTTTACTTGTACGAGCAGAAACCCAAACATTGTCTGGATTTAATATACCTGTACAAAAAAAACAATTGCATTGATTCAAAATAATTATCACATTTATAATTTCCAAGATGAAATTAAGCTTAATTACCTTTGCGAATTAAACCAGCACCAATAGCACTAGCCATATTTCCACCACCAATGAAACCAATTTTATCCATTTTGAAATTGTATTCTGCCATATTTATGTATAGATATGTCTAATAATAAATTTGAATGCAAAAAATTCATATTAATCATCATGAGCCACACAGAATATATTCTTCTTAAATTGTACAATATAACTTACATATTTTTTTTCTCAAAATATTAGTATCCTATAATTACACAAATTTTTTCAAATTCTATTATATTATTTACAAATACTTATTTTGCTAATTCACAATAAAACGATGAGATTCAATTGCTCTTTTATTCACTTTCGAAAATGTTTTTAACCCTTTCAGACCTGGTGGTACACATGTGATATGAATAATTTTCTGATGATAATATGTGCTATCTGCATATGTATATTACGTATGCGTGAGTACATAAAAGTGTATACCTCTGAACTATATACGAAACATATTATCAATTAGCAACACTTAACGAAAAATCTTATCTTCCAGGCATTCCAGGTTCGAAGAGTCTTATATACATATACATGTGAAATCATTGATTACTATGAATCGTATAGCAATATTTTTGATTATGTGGTTAAGAGAAAAATTTGGATAATCGCGAAATATTGAATAAACGTAGGAAGGAATATAAAAAAAATGAACTGACTATTTAAATATCACCTAAACGATTTAATAATAAAAGTATAATATTGAAATCCTAAAATAAAGAAAATCCATTTTGTACGGCTAAAAATCTTTAGTATTTAATATGCTTATAACAGAACATATATTTAGTGCTATATAAATTACTACGAGTATTACTAATATTAATAATAAATCGACTTTGAAAATAGAATAACCTAATCATCGTTCGAAAGATATTTTACTCGATGCTAATTATTATCAATTGAATTTAACGATAATATGCATATATTGAGTGTTTTATGACGCGTATACGATGTTATATGTATAGATAGAAGTGAAATGATAAATAAATAAAATATTTAACATGTCTCTTTATTTTAATCATTATAAAATTAGACGAGGTTGCATTCATCATTTTGCATTGACGCATGTGACGTACGACTGCTAATGACGATTAATTGGTCCTGGTTCACGCATTTAAGGATATTTCTTAAATACAAAAATGTATGATGCAACATGATATGAATAGTGATTAACATGACACCATATTAATCGAGTTTATTAAAAATTATAACAAATTAGGTTTATTATAATGGGTAATTGTATACGAAGTTTACTGAGAAGGTTACAAAGAAAAAGATGTACTGAAAAGTAACGTATCAGTATGTTAATAGACATAAACAAAGAAAATTTGTACTATATAATTATCAACAATGTAATTTTAGGACTATTATTTTACTGATCGTGGGTCTTGATAATGCGGGAAAGACTACTGTTTTGAACCGTATATGCGGTGGTATGTGTTTTAGCATTATAAATTTTTTATTACCATGACCGTTACTTAAATTAACACTTTACAGTGTATACATTAATAATAATAAAATTTTTATACCATGAAGTAATTTTTGAGGTTGTTAAACAGTATGTAAATAATATACATTTTTTTAAGATTCAGACAAAAATGTTCTACCTACAATAGGATTTCGAACAGTTTCATTAAGATATAAATCATACGTGGTAAAAATTTATGATATTGGAGGTAGCTCACAAATCAGATCCTTATGGACAAAATACTACAGTGGTGTAAGTAATTAATAACAAGTTCAGAAATTGGAATATTCCTAATGTTTAGGATTATACTTTATAGGAATCTAATATTTCCTTTCCCATAAATATCCTTGATAACATAACACCCTTGTGAAATATTCTTCTCTCTCCATTTTGCATCTTTTAGATACATGGTCTTATATATGTGGTGGATGCTAGTGATATTTCCCGTCTTACAGAAAATAAAGTTGTATTTGGTGAATTAATTTCACATGAATGTATTTCAGGGAAACCATTATTATTGTAAGAAAATTGAATGTATTTTTTATGCCTGCCTATTTTCCTTTGATCACAGAACACCATTTATAAAACACAATATGCACCAATTAGATTTGCACAAAAAATTGTCTTATATACAATGTTCACACAATATTTATATTAATAAAATCTAAATGTATGTTTTACTGTAACAAGTTTTTATAATAGGCTTGCAAACAAGCAAGACATAAATGGGGCTATTGATGAATTAGACCTTGTTGAAAACTTAGATGTTGAACATGCTGCTAATACTAGGAAATGTCCCACAAGGGTTGAGATATGTTCGTGTACCGAGGATGAAAGTCAATTGAAAGATACCACTACAGGCATTAAAAATGGATATAAGTATGTACTTCTTAATTCTTATTAGTTTCTAAATAAAATGACTTAGCTAAACTTTTTATTGGCAAGGAACATCTGCAAAATGTCTCTTCTTGATTTTAATGAAACTCTGTAAGTTTGTAAAACAGCCTAAAATAAGAGATACATATTTTTTTAATAGCTATAATTCAAAATTAAAAGATGAAACTATTCTCCTTTAAACAAATTGTGTACAGTTTTTGGTAGAAAATAACAGTGTACACATCAATAAAAATAATAATCCATGTTATGCATGTAAAACTGACTACTGTCTGTGTAGTTACATCCCTTAAATTTGAAATACCAATCCTACAAAAAATATGTATTCTTATTTTTAGTTGTTCTATAAAGTAGCAATTGCATTAAACTCAGGGCTAAAAGACCCATCATAGATGTTACTTGTGACAATAAATTGAAGTCAATTTCTTAAATACAATTTATATGTATGAAATTGATGTAGATGGCTATTGGACATAGTAGCAAAGAATTACACTGTATTAAACAATAGACTTAAGGATACACAAATTGCCAGAAACGATAAAGTTACAGAAGTACAACCTACAACATCAAATACATCATCAAGATTGTCAATTCATTCCAATCCTTTCAGACCAATCAAAGAACTAGTTTTAAAGAAGGTAATACATTAAATCTCGTGTTTATTAGGAAAGCAAATTCTTATAAAAACTTACAACTGGTATGATAAAAAAGAAATCTTAAAGTAGATTTATTTATTTTCACATTCACTTTTTTTTCTCTTCATATCTTTAGTTATAAAACCATACAGTTATGAATTATTTTCATTTCAAAATAATTCAAAAATTAATATATACTATAAATAATATTTGTAACTATTCATACGTAATTTATAATACAGAACATAATTAACAATTATGTATGTGCAACAAGTAACACCCAACCTAGATAGCTAAGTAGCAAGTTCTACAATTTATTTCCAAACTATATCAGTTTAAGTTTTTACAGCTGTTGTGCAAAATAATTTCAAAAAATATCATAGCATATTCTTATTTTGTTTATTACAATCTCAGGAAGAAATTCAGTCAGCAAGTGCTTCACATTTAAATAATGGTAGGTAATACTACAAAAAATATTACAAATAATAAATATGACTTGTCCCAAATAAATAAATATATTGGTAGGTGTTACTACTAAAACCAAATTGAAGAAAATATTTATGCATAAAAATAAAACTGCACCACTTACTACCAAAGAATCTGTCATTGAAATTGGAGATACACCAGAAAATGCAAAATCTGCCACCATAACTTTAGGAATTCAAAATAGTCTTCAAGTACTTCCACCAGTATCAAATGCATTCTCAAATACAATCAAATTAAAACCAAATCGTCCATATACAGCTCCGGAACGTTCGCAACATTTTGTAAATAAAATAACAATAACCAACATTCCTGGTCAAGTGACACAAGGTTAACATTATAAACTGAATATATAAATACTAAACAGGGACCATTGTAAACAAACATAGAATAATCAAAAATTATACGAAGACGAATATTTTTAACATCGAATTTTTTATTTTTTGACTGAAAATCGACTGATAATTTTAACGCAAAAATGCATTATTTAAGGACTTATTTATTATATGTTAAACAATTTTGTTGTATTTATACGTAGTGTATTATTTATTTATATATGTTAAAATGTCAAGAATAAAAAATAATTATAAAGAAACAAATAATATCTGTTTACGTGTACAATGTCACCTTTCAATACGTTGTGCCGGATAGTTCCGGAGTCCGCTTCTTCTTCAGCTTCGACCCCTTCCGGTTACGTGAATTCGCGGGATCGTCGACCGACTCGAAAAATCGAGCTGACCGAACGGAACATGTATGTTTTTATTTTACGTTATTAGTCATTGTGAAAGTTTTTTTTAAAATTTTAACTTTATTTTATAAGCTTGTATACAAGTTTACATACACAAAAGTTTGAGAAATATATGAATTACAGTACATATGAAAGGCTTATAAAATCTATAGTAAAGATGTATTATAAAATTTTCGACCATATAAATGTATTACATGAAACTATGTAAGAAAATGTTGTAACATCTCAAGCATACATCAACAGCACATACTTTATCACAATTTACAATACAATAAATATTGTAAATATTTTTGCAACATTATTCTATATTGTTGAGCAATTACTTTATAACATTAAATATGAGATGTTAGTACATTGAAAGATCATATTGAAAATTGTTACAATAAGGAACAATGTGTTTCATGTAATATAAAGATAACTAACATTTTTATGAGAATTATTTTATACAAATTATCATTTTATACCAATAATAAAAGTATAATGATCAAAAATTCAGAAGCAACATTAAAATTTGTAAAAATTGTAAAATTACATTAATAAGTATTTAAGAATTATATACTCTTATTATGAAAGACTGTTATATCACGATATCAAAAGTTTTCATAGGTTATAATAATGCCATTTCAATTACAAATATAGCAATTTTTGCCATTTTAATATTGCGCTTTTTCTAAATTCTTATTTACATCATTTAGCAATGACTTCTCAAACTATGAAGCAACATAACATTTTATATTCCAGCGAACAATTCCAAAAGTATGTGCAAACTGCATTTCATAATAATCTAGTTACAGCATAAGTCATTTTATAGTATCTTTCTTAACAATAGATAAAACTTGAATATTCGTTGTAATTGCACCTTATATAATCACAACTAGTTTACTTGCATAAGTAATGTTCATCTACTATTAAAAAGAAGATATTTTATTTTATATGTAAGTTAGACTATTGCTTCTTGCAAAAAGACACAAGTTTTGTCCTCCTGACATTTGTACAAAGCAGCAGGTATATTAAATGTATGTATATAAATGTATACATTTTTTAAGTTGCTTTTGTTACAATGGCTCAAAAATACTTCTTTCTAAATAGACTGGTCAAATTAATTAGAGAATCTGGAGAATTACACTGAATTGTGAATTCTGAAGTAAATAACAGAAACAAAAATGTTACTGTATATTTATACACCATTTTCGTGGTGTTTTCTTGTTTTTTGTACTTTGCATGTATGAATCACTGGATGAATAATACTAGTCATTATTTATCTCATTTACATAAACGATTCTCTAATTATTCTGAACAGTGTGTATGTAATAACTGTGTAGTTAGTATATAAATTACTTATCAAATTTTGCTTAAAAGCAGCAATCAAAAAGGCAATATTTATGACACTGCTGTCTTAATTTTAATTTGCATTTGTACTTATTTAATATCTTACTTCTAATGCGCCAAATACGTTTCAATATTTTCTGCAGCTTTATAATGGCTTAAAAATGTTCGAAGGTTATAGTTCAAGATTTTATCATTATAAATTTTTAATATTTTTATAAACCTTGCAAAAGATATAAGATTTGTAAGATTTCTTATTAAATTGTACAAGTACAAAAATTTATATATACTATCAAATCTATTATATTGTATTGCTATAATGTTTTGTCTTATGGTGCAAGTTTTGCATAGTACAATAGCAATTTGCATTTATTAAATGCTATCATTTAAATGCAATACAATTACACCACAAATGGGAGCAGCATAGACAAAATATTACCATTTAACTCCTATGGCAGTGCTGTTGGTGCAATGAAGGTACACACTGTATAAAATCTATTATACTGCATAAATATTTCATGTATAAAATGACTATACCACTCCATTCTTCATGGGTGGAAATTTTACCAAACGCGTCAACATTGTAGTAATGCATGGAATTTGTTTTTGTTGATGCATTGTTATGTTTTCGGGAGTATTGGACTCAAAATCAATAGCAACTCGCTGACACACAAAAGTAAGAAGAGTTAATAAATCGTACCGAGTACCATTTTCACGCAATTCCACGCATAGTGCTTGCATGAACCAAGAGCCATGAGTGGTATTCCTCCATGAATAATAACCTATGCATTAAGTTTTTAAGAAATACTCTCTTCGTAAATCGATTGTACAAAATGATTGATCAAAATCAGAACACTTGATTGTCTCTATATTCCTACATAAATTTTTCATGTGCAGTAAAAATCCCGATTATCTAGCATACTCGCGACCGGCGCAATGCCAGATAATTAGACTATACCTACATATGAAGTGATAAAATTTTTAAATGTTTTGTTTTTGATGGATCGTTCTGTACAATGAATATTAATAAAATTAACAATATTGTATATTAAATTATATTTTTATATGGAACATACCTGGTATTGTTGAATAAGCAATTAAGAAGTCAGCATGAGTTGGTATACGGAATGAAGAAACAGATTGACCATCAGTTTCAGTACGATCTTTCATGGATACACCTGCATCTAATCTATCTCCTTGACAAGCTTGTATAAAAAATAACTTTGGCTTTCCAGCTAGCGTAGGACACTTATCTGATGTAAAATGGCTCCAAATGGAATCAGGCTTGTATGAGACATCATGAGCATAAAGTAACCCTAACTCTCCATGACTCAATACAGCTACAATCAGACAGTCATGCTGCGAATGATCCATACTAGAGACTGTAAAATCAAAAAAAGAATTTTTTGAAAATATATTCAATGAGCCTTCATTTATATAATAGTGCCCACTTAAGTGTCCGTGCTTGGGATCGGCAGCGGTCACTTAAGTGGGCACTATTGTGTGTTGAAATTTAAAACTTAACACATTCCATGCCACATGGAACATTGGTGACTCACTGTAGGCCTTTATGATGTTCATTATTAAAAGAAACATTATCACAGATTATACCGTAATATTGTTAACCCTAGGAAAACTGAGTTGCAAAGAGCCTCAAACTCATCTATATTTTTAATTGGAAATCTAATTTTAATTAATTTTTTGTAATAAATTTGACATTTGTGATTTGTGGGCAAAACCATTCTAATTTATAGAACAAGATAAAATGTATGTGATAACAATATTGATTAAAAATTAAATTACAAAGGTTTCATGGTCAATTGACTAATGCAGACCAAAGCAGGCAAAGAATTAAAAATAAACAGTGCATTACAAACAAACAAATGACTACATTGTTTACATTAACTTTTCTTCTTAATACAGTAGTGCCCACTTAAATGTCCGCGCTCGGGACCGGTCGCGATCGTTTAAGTGGGCAAACGTGCGTTCACTTAAGTGGGCATTGCTGTAATAATGTTTGTAATCTCACGAATATTATAAGATATAAATTATAACTGTTTAAAGATCCACAACATGGACCATCAATGGTCCATGTGACCAGAATGGAATGTCACACAAAATTAGCATAACACAGTCCATGTTCATCAAATGAGGACCAATTGAAACTATGCATATGGTTCTGATTCAATGGCCAGAAGCTATACAGAATGCATTAAGGGAACATTCTCATTGTAATTAAATAGGAAGTTTAAAATGATAAAAGGATAAAACATCCACTGAATACCTCTTCTTAAATTTTGCACTATATCTCTATGTGTTGAATTATGATAATCGTTTACTTCAAAATCAAGATTTTTCAATGTAGTGATAAGATTTTCACAATCAACATTTGTTCCACATCTTTGTTTAAGATGTGGAACAGTGAAAAATTCGTGATTAAAAATAATGGCTAATCCACGTTTTGAATGGTTCATGTTGTAATGTGTAGCATAACGTTCTGTGGGTGCCATTTGTATAGGGCCCATGTGGGGACTGACGCTGTTTCTGTAAAACAAAGAAAAAGCATGCCTGATACTGGGTCCATTTAACAAAACATTAACTCATTACACATAAAAAACAACATAGAAATAATTAATGTTCAGATTTTACAGACTATCTATTTTCTTTGCAATACAGTATTTTTTAGCACTCTAATATTTGAAATATTATATATATTATCTTATTATTATACCATAATTTCAATAAACAAATTTACACCACTCTCAATCAATTCTAAGAATAGATAGTCTGAATTAAATAGTCCCATGCAAGCATATTACACGTATTAGTATACAATATGGAAAATAACAATAACACAAGGGCATTGACATTCTTTCATACATTGTACGATTGATTATATGATGCATTCTCGTATATTAAGCCATACCTGGAACATTCAAATGCATCTGCGACATCATTACTGTATTTTATGCTTTCGTTTATATCTCCAGCTTCCGTCGAGCACATGATTTCACTTTAGAAATGATTCTCACAGTCAAAGGAACAATAGTTTCGTTATAAAAACAATCTCTCGATCACACTTTACTGGTCAACGAGACATGAATATGACTCACTTCAGCGTGCGTCGTTTATACGTATGCATGTAGGTATGTACAGTTTAACACCAAGAAAAGGTCTCTGTGGTGGGAGAATGTTAGTCCAGCCCCTTATTCCAACAACCATCCCCATAGTGAGAGTTCCCTTTTAATTTCTTAACAGTACGGTATCGCTCACTGTCATGCTACATATTTCAGTTCGAATTTATCTTCATGTTATTTATTTACTTTTTATTTACGGCATCTGTTGGTAATTATAAAGAACTAAATTGCTCTCAGTTACATTGGAAACAGCAATTTATATCGTTCATCTAAGTACCTAGTTAATTCTAGTTCCTACTATGACCTTACTTATGAAAATGAAAATTAAATTAAAATAGGGACTAAAAGTAGAAATTTAATAACCTACTTAGGTTATTAGCGACTATACTGCGGCTTAAATGCTATTTGTAAGGTGGGTTTGATTAATAAAAATAAGTACTGTTCTTAAATGTGATTACTCTAACAATTGCTTCACAACATAGAAGTTTATAGATTATTGAGAAGGATTAAATTATTACATGTATATTGAATATGTTTGATTGTGTTTTGAGTGTAATCATCTAATTCTAATTCATAGGTTTATCCGTGTGGTAACTAAGAACGTACCGTGGAAAAGAGGGGGTAGCGAACTGGATGACGTTCCCCTTAGACGGCAACAATTCGTGTTACTAAGCATAGTAATGACAAAAATGACTTCAAACATGGTCATATTGCATTGACTTTGAGTCAGACGAGCAATATGTAACTAGCAAAGGAGCAAGGATACAAGATTGACATTCAACACGTATGTATATGCCTAAATATATTTATATTATTTTAGGTTATAATAATCTACTAAAAATTGTGCGTGTAGTTTAATACGTTTGGGTTTTGTTTCTGCCCAAGATAATAAAGCATTAAATGTACGATCCATTTCTTCCTCTTCTGTGACAGTTGATTCTGCTTTGTCGCATTCCGAAAACCATTCTATTATTTCGTCGGTAGGAATGCTTCCTCCGAGTTGTCCTGAATTTTGTTCAATATTGACCTTTGAATCTTGCTCTTCGGGACTCTCAGCCGATAGCGGTCGATTTAAAAGTTTCCTCCACGAATTTTTAATACTCGTTGCCGTTATTTCATTCCATGCTTCGCTTATTAAGTCTATACAGTCTTTTATATCGTAATCCGCGTAAAATTGCCTAATTCCATCATATCGAAGTACTCGGCGAAGTAGATTGTGCCGGAACAATTTCTTACATTCTGCAATTATACCTTGGTCCAACGGCTGAATAACCGAGGACGCATTCGGAGGCAAAAATACTACTTTAAACCGGGAATCTTCCCATGGCTGTTGAGAAGGCATATGCCCCTTACAATTGCCAATTAATAGTAGTACTTTTCCCTCTTGATAATTTTGCATCTGATGCTGCCACACACTGAGTTTAAAATGATTGGTGAACCAATCATTGAAAACGGTTTCGTCGATGCAGGCATTATTTTGACTTTTATACACTACCGGTAATGTAAGTATGCAATGCTTCAAAGCTCGTGGATGGGCGTATTTGTTAATAAATAATGGCGGCAGTTTATGCGTGCCAGTGGCATTAGTACAAAATACCACAGAGACGCGATCTTTTTTTACTTTTCTATCTTTTGTGTTATGTTCTCCTTCGTGAGCCAATGTTCTTTGCGGGAGGGCTTTCCACATTAAACTCGTCTCATCCACGTTATAGACGTTCTCTTCATCGATGTTTTCTTGATCTAACATTGCCGACAATTCTTCTACAAATTTTTCCGTAGCTAATTCATGCGCCTTGGGTTTCTCTCCGTGAATGCTAGTAAGATGCATGCCGTGTCTCCTTTTGAAACACTTGAGCCAACCTCGACTTGCTGTAAAATTCGACGGACCTGCAAATTCGGCATGCAATTCCCTAGCTTTCTTCTGCAGAAGAGTATCGGTTAAGATCTCTCCTGAAGCTTGTTTTTCTATGATCCACGCATATAACCGGTTATTTACATCTTCGTGCAACAGTGTCGGTTTTTTTTTCAAATCCATCGAGTTCGGATTCTCCGAAAATTCTCGAATCGATGCTGCATTGTTTCGGTATCGATATATAGTTCTCCTATTGATACCATATTCAGCAGCAAGCTGTTCAACAGGTACGCCTTTTTCAAACTTCTGGAGAATCTCCAACCGTTTTGCAACAGTATTTTGCTCTTTTCGTGGAGGGACGGATGCCATATCGACGGTTAATCTTGCTATTGTTGCAAATACACTAATGCAATACTGTCCTTCCAACTGTCAGTCTGACCTGCAAACTGTCGCGTAGTTACCCCCACCATTTTCTGCAGCATTAATTGTATTTCCTTCGCAGTCACTTTCGTCCTCGGCATACACATGCCTTAAAGATTCTGTTCATTCTTCACAGATGTACAAAAGGTACTAGGTACGTTGCGACTTTCGATTAGTAGAATGCGCATCATCATCTCATTCTGCCAATCAGAGCTTTGAACGTACATAGAGCTTTTAGTTGCATCTATGTAGTCTGGACTAGTTTTCTGTCTCGAGTGTATACTTTACAATCGTAATAATTCTTGTCATCTAAGGGAAAAGTCACTAATGTAGACTACCCCTTCTTCTTAGCAAGTTTGTAGTTGTTGCGGAATTGGAACATTCGATGGTGTTATTGCAACAGTGAGACACGACGAGCGTAGAATTGTAATTCAGTCCATTGCATGGCAGAATGGTTCAATACCTCGAAATGCAACGAATTATACTTATCATTATTATTAATCACATATTTCTTACGTTATAAATTTTGTTCTGTTTCTTTATATAGACAAGCGAGGTAAAATAAAGATACATACAAAAACAACTAATATATACAATTGTTTTAGTAGTTTGAATTGTTCGTATAGGAAATCGCGTACTACATCAATACTTATGTACTGTAGCAATTGCTACAATAACAGAATTTAAAGATGGTATACACCAAGCGTGGGATTTTACTGTTATTCAATTGTCTTTATAATTAACATAGTATTAAGTTTATAATTAGGACGTGTCTATTTTTTAAATACTATTCGATATTACGGGAAAGTATTACATGGAACTATGGAAATTTTGCTAACTTCACCTTGACGAAAGTACCCAGGTTTACTGTTTACAGAAGTAAACGAGTCTGTGAAGATCATATTGCTGTTTGTCGACAACTCGTGCTAACAGTCTTACAGGAACAAGAAAGAAAGATTCACATTCGCTTTCTTTCTCAACTCACCGAAGTTGTCCGAAGTGTTGTGTTCACGTACACGTGTTTGTGGTTAGCGTATGTAAGAGTAGGGGCAATTTCTTTATGAAACCGGTTTACCTTCTGACATCTATGTTCTATAAGTAGAGGGGCAGTTTCCTGTTGGTATCCGTTTACTATCTAGTATCTATTTTGTTGGCGTAGTGTATTTGTAAAGCTTGAAAGCAACATTCAAGATGACATCCATTCCTACAAAAAAAGGACGAACTACAATCGCAACACGTCTCGAGATTCTGCAAAAGTTTGAAAAAGGTGTATCTGTTCAACAGCTTATTGCTGAGTATGGTGTTTCTAAGAGAACCATATTTCGATATCGAAATTCCGCAGCATCGATACGAAATTTTATGGAGAAACCAAACTATATGGATTTGAAAAAAAAAATACACATACTACACGAAGATATAGATAATCGACTGTACGCGTGGATTACAGAAAAACAAGATTTGGGAGAGATTCTAACTGATTCTCTACTGCAGAAAAAAGCGAGGGAATTGCATGCAGAATTCGATGGTACATCGAAATTTACGGCAAGTCGGGGTTGGTTAAGGTGTTTCAAAAGGAGACATGATGTGCACCTTTCTGGCATTCACCTACAAAAACCCAACAAGTATGATTTAGCTGCAGAGAAATTTATAGAAGAATTGTCAACATTATTAGAGGAAGAAAATATCCACAAAGAAAACATATATAATATGGATGAAACAAGCTTAATGTGGAAAGCTCTTTCACGAAAAACATTATCCAAAGAAAGAGAACAGGGGAAGAAAAGAATAAAAGTGAGACCCAATCGTATCTCTTTAATATTTTGTACCAATGCCACTGGCTCACACAAATTTCCACTGCTGCTTATTAACAAATCTGCCCATCCACGATCTATAAAAGATTGTTTACTCACGTTGCCTGTAGTATATAAAACTCAAACAAATGGCTGGATTGATGAAACTATTTTCAATGATTGGTTCACAAATCATTTCAAACCCAGTGTGTTGCACCATCAGAGACAGAATCATCGAAAGGGAAAAGTACTGTTATTAATTGGTAATTCTAAGGAACATATACCCATTCAACAAATATGGGACGATTCCCAGTTTAAAGTAATATTTTTGCCACCAAATACATCTTCAATTATTCAGCCATTGGATCAAGGTATAATTGAAGAATGCAAAAAAATGTATCAGCATGATCTACATCATCGGGTACTTCAATATGATGAACTTAAGCAATTTTATATAAATTATGGTATTAAAGACTGCATTGACATAATTAGTGAAGCTTGGAATAGAATAATGGTAATAGACATTAAAAATTCATGGACTAAACTTTTAGGTCAAACACCATTGGCTGAGGATCCTAATGATCATGATCCTATGGCTAATATTCAATCTAATGCTGTTTATTTCATTGACCGTAAAGAATATTTATACTGGAAAAATGGTGATAAGATTTATTATTGCAAAAAACATGATATATTAACAAATAATATCAAGCAATAAAATCTGTTGAAGAATGAGTGCAATGTTAACAATGAACATTGGATCACATTATTTATTTCCAACAAGTATTTTTTTTATTGATTTCAATATTGATGACAATTCAGATTATTATGAATCTCTACAACTTTTTCTCTACTGTTAGGAAGCCTATTATTTGATCGTTTTATTGTTACTTCAATGTGCAATATTATTTAATAAAATTCAGTAACCAATTAATATAGTTTAGAGATACAGTTTATCAATTTTAAATATTGTGTACAGTTTAGATATTTGTGAACCATGATTTTCTATTAAGATAGGCATAAACTAAAATTTGATTAAAAAAAAATGTTTAAAAATTTATTTAAAATAGTATTTTGATACAGTTTTGTAAATATACAAGGTTGTTGTTATAAGCATTGCTAAAGTGAATCAAAATTGAAAATATCGAATAGCAGAATAAACTTGGTTTATAATTAAGACCATAATCACAGTAGCAGCTTTAGTACATACTAGCCATGTTGAACGAGAAACAGTAAAACCGCAAGAGTCTGATTTCGCACTTAATAGAAAGAGTACACAGTATTTGTACGTCTTTATCTATCTAATGCAAAATCAGACTCTCGTGACTTTACTGCCTCTTGCTCAGCACGGTCGTACTAGAATCAGTTGTGCCATGGTGTATGCAGAGAAAGAAAGTGGCATACGTTACGTAGATTCAGGAACAGCGGGACTCGTGCTATGGGAGGGGGAAATCACTAGCTGCGTCACAAACCAAGATGGCTGCCCAAAAGAAAATGGCATCATGATTGGTGTCGAAACTGATGACTTTTCTCTCCCGTAACACGAAACGCTGTCCACGGTTCTGCTTCTCAGGAATCATCTTCTCATCAATGTAATTTCATCAAATTTGGGACCTAGCAACGAAGTTCTCGCGTACAAGGTAGTGTATTTTTTATAGAAATGGACTCTAACATTGCTCGACAAAAAAAAAAGAGAATAGTTATAACGGGAGAAAGCGAGATAAATATAATATGACGAGCAACGACAATCGAGACCCGGCATTTCACCCCTTGCCGTACAATAATGTGTCTAATTCGTCATAAGTTCTTTATGCCAAGTTTCGCGATCACGAAGTCTAATATATCAAAATCAACATATTTTCGCATTCATGAGGTATTCGTAAAATAAATCTTTTTTTGTGAGCATTGCATGTATGAACAAATTTAAACAAAATCAAACACTACACATTTGAGGAAAATTACTTTGAATTAAATCATTCGCGAATGGAAAGAAATGCCGCCAAAACAAAAAGTAATGCAATATACAAAATTTCACTTTGTATTGTTGGCATTCAGTCGATAAAATGATTGACTTAATATATCTAATGTTAATAAAATTACGTCGTTAACGGAACGACCGAGAAGTTTTTCATTAGATATGAAAAAATAAGGTTTGATTCATTCGATGATAAACGATTCACATTATAATTTTATTTACATATTGATATGCGTATTTAAGAAAATCGCATATTGTAGCAGAACACTAGCATTATAATAAAGTGAGACAAATATTGTTGTTTCTCAGCAGCCAAGTATTTATTCTTAAATTTATTCTGTAAAAATTAATATATGTTCGCAATAATTGCGAATTAAATTCGTTACCCCTAATTATATTCTATATTATTTTTACTTACCTTTAAATTTTCAGTGGTCGTTCGTGCACTTTGTCAGTAACTTTCAATTTTTTAACAAGGGAACCAAAAAAGAAATATATCACTACTAAAGGTTTATAAACTCATGATGAAATTTTCAAATGCAAGTTTGTGATCTCATTAAAGTATAGAAATTCTTGCACTCGCGAATCAGTTCCATTATTAATAATAGTGAAAGAAAGTACAGTAACTTTGTTTCTAATCATTTAGTACATAACTAATTCTAACGATTTTATTAAAATTATTTGTAGCTTTATAGATACTCATAACCTTACTATAAGGATTTTATTCGTATATTATCGCAACAATTTTACTTCCAAAATATATTTCCTTTTGAATGATCGAGCCACAGGAAAAATGATCCAAGAATGGTACGACCGTTCAATATTTTATGACTTTTTTATTGAATGTTTCTAACTGTTATCGAGAAACAATGTGGTGTCTGTCATACATATTATAAACTGGTCTTGTGTATTAAAATTTTTTACACGAATATAACCAATGATATTTGTTTCTTTTCTTCTATTGCGCACTTTTTATAGTATTTTACACAAGCCTGTACCAATCACTTATGGCGACCATGATAAATGCGACAACAATCATTCTGTGTATTGATTAATGAAATATTGTTACTTATCTATGAGATTGATATGATCTATGAACAGTTTTTGGGTAGTAATTTTAAGTAAATTTATAAAAGCTTTATCAGTATAAAAATGCTGTTATAAGAGAGAAAAGAATATAATCATTCGGTTTACTGGATTGGGACTTCATTTTAGAACCTTACATTTGTTGACCAACTGTTCTAAACAATTACTAGTTCAAATTAATCCAGCACATATCATTTCCTTATCCTACCATCATGATTGCTATTGCCTGTTATAATTGGTTGAAGTAATTGTCCAGAAAACGAAAGGTTTCAGGTTCAAATCTTTTTCCAGTAAAACGTATGTCAATTTCTTTTTCTACATACACTGTGGTCTTGATTGTAAACTAAGTTTATTCGGTTATTCGATATTTTCAATTTTGATTTTCTTTAGCAATGTTTAAGACAGCAACCTCGTTTTTATATTTACAAAACTATATCAAAATAATCGTTGGATATTTGAAATATATGAACATTTAATCGATATTTAAGACTGCCGAAATTTTATCAATTTCTAAACGTTCTTTTTATAATCGAAATTTGGTCCATGTCCACTTCAGTAAAGAATTATGGTTTATAAATATCTAAAATGTACAACAATATTTTAAATTGACAGATTGTATCTAAAACTATATCAATTTGTCAGTGAACTTTGTTAAATAATATCGCATATTGAAGTAACGACAAAGTGAAAATATCGATTATCCGTAAATGCCTATTATTTACTTAAATACTCTGCACTTTATTTGATCCATCAAATGTGTTAAATTTGCCATAAGTAGGTACAGCTGTGTCATGTTACATGAAAATATTTTAATTTCTTAGTGCAGCTTTTCAGGCCTTGCATAAGACAACACACATGACCTTTCATCATTTAAGTTTTCAATGGTGCACTGTAGGATCAAATCATAGGCCTCCTAACAATAGATAAATATGTATATAATCATGAAGTTGTAGAGATTTATAATAATCTGAATGATTATCAAGTTAGTATTAAAATTTAAGATTTCTATTATTTGTTAATGGTGTTATCATTTGGTTTTGCAAAAATTAAATGTATCGTCATCTTTTCAGTATAAAAATTCTGTATGATTAATAGAATAAGCATAGGTCATTTTGCGAAGTATTTTTATATAAATTAACAGTCAAATATCAATCGGCGATAATAGTAGTAAATGTGATATTTAGTGCCCTTAATTAATTGGAGCAATTTCACTTTGTAATTTATATACAGATATTCTTGACGAAAACGATAGATTTGCATAATTATGCCAGATATTCATAAAACTCTACAACTTGTAAACCAAGACCGTGTATTGTGTATTTTTAGGATATTATTAGGTAGGTATAGGTAGACATTGCCTATGTACAATCGCAACGATGTTGCACGTGCCTACTTCCTGGCAATCCTAAGTAAAGCTTACAGTTTGAATAAACTTTTTTTTAGATAATTATGTCTTTAATAAGTAAGTAATAATTCTATTAGAAATAACAGTACAATATCTGAACTGTTATTATCCTGCAGCCATTTACATATTACGTTTTCTAGTTTAAAGTATTCTCATACAACACTTGTATGTTTTGGTTCTGAGACATAATTAAGATAATCATTTTACTATTATAACTGGCCAATAAGTATCTGCCACTTTTCTTATATTATTAATCTATTTATCATATATACAGATAATATACAATAGTCGCGCTTAATATAAGTAATATTATTATCCTATTTTCAGTAATGTTATAGTAGTTATACGAATAGAAACTTGACCGCATCTAATCCTTCAATGTGCGCTAGTGTTGCACGCTGGAATATAAATACATTTTAATATAAAATTTGTATAATCTACATGAATCACTTTAAGTATATCTTCTCTTTTAATCACAAAAGATATAAATGTAATAACTACTACGCAAGCAGGGGGGCCATGGGCGGTGTCACTCTGGCAGTATATCATACAAATAATTCCAGTACATTTGAATTTTTATTAAATGAGAAATCAATTTAGTAAGAATTTGTGCTAACTGTTACACAATTTATTTTCTTCTGTTAAACCAAAGCATTTTTCTTTTTGTACGTTTATAAATCGAACACGGGAAACCATTTCTGTATATATTTATTGCGCGTGATATTTGATTTGTTTATAAAATTTGATTTTCTGTATTTCATTACTACGCGTAATTCATTCATAAAGATCTTAGATCAGTTAGTTTAATTTGTAATTATCATAAAAGTCCCTTAGCGTTTCAGAAAAATAATAAGTAAACCAGTAATTCTTTTTTCGCGAATTGAATCATTAATGATAAATTATTTATATCAGAACGTGAAAATAAACTCTATATATGTAAATGGTTTTGATGTATCTTCAGAGATTTCGTATAGAACAAATATTCTGTTCACATTATGTAGATGTTAATATTTTGATAAATTCTCAGAACTGATTTTTAAAAATTTTGTGTTATTATGCCGACCAGCATAAGTTTCCCACAAATTTTTTTAGCAATATTGCTAGTAATAGTTACGAGAGAACATTCATAATCGATGAATTTTCCAGTAAATGAACATTGTTTACTCGTGAACTTTTTACAGCTAATTTAAAAACTCCGAAGATACATCGTATGAAAGTATTACATAGTATCCAGTGTGAAGCCCGATATGCCCTCGATTATTCTTTTTCATCTGTTGTTACTAATCATCTAAAGGAAAGGAACACTATATGCGCTATATCCATCAATAAGCAGGGTGATTCACAACAGATGAACGCCTTATCTATTTTCGATTAAAACTTATTTACAAAAGTTACTGTACAATTGTAATTCTGTTGTGATGTAGGTCCATCATAGCCTTGAATGTGAGTAGACCGGTATTGAGGTAAAGATCATATTGCAGCGAGAATTTCAAAGTGAAGCCTTTGAAATAGCACAGCACATTTTGTCAAGCAAATATTCCAAAATCATAAATCCATTAAAAACGCCTACGGTTTGAAGGTACACTAAGGATGATCGGTTTTTAAAATTATTTCGGTATTGTGCAGATGTTGGACTCGGAAGTCCGTATTTTCAATATAAAATTTTATAAATGTGCTATACGATTTGTAAAATTTATTGACCAAAACGGTATTAGTTTGTCTATCGAACGTAATAATATCAACCTCTTTAGTATTATTAACATCTTGCAGCACGTTCTTTGAATATTGTCCATGTAAAAACTTATTTCGGAATGAAGAAATGGTTAAATGGCAATGTGTATAAAATATATGTAAGTTCATCGATCGTATCGCACATTTATTGTATCAAACAAATATGTTCGTAGTTATTAATCTGTATGTAAAACTCTTCATGGAAAAGATTGCTCTACGTTCGGTATTAAAAAATTCGTATTACCTTCGTTTGAACACAATTAATATAATTGTGGTACTCGGTGATCAGTTCTGGAACATATGCCCGGCACAATGTTATAACGCGTCTCTATTGGAAACAAAATTCCCAATATCAAGGACTAAACACAATCCGTGCAATAACATCTTTACAAATAAGCACGCTACGTGGTGCTCCGTTCCGCTATTAATTAAAAGTCATCGTTTTTAAATCTAGTAATATGCCCTAACTTCGTCAATAGGAATATTATAATTAGAGCTAAGATTGTTTGTACCATTGAATTAGGTGAAAGCACCCACAGTGACCCCAATACGTTTTGAAATCCCTCACTACAAGTATTTTCGTCTGATTAGAAACATATTTGTAGTAAGATGCAAACCTGCCGATCGCTTTTGTTTCGTAACGTCAGGGTCGCAATTTGATTATTCCTCTAAAAGATGTCAGTTATCTTTTATTCGAAGAGTGCCAAAATATCATCACTCGATGAGGGGTTACCACTGCTAGCGCCGCTGCTGGGAGGCGTATTCAGATCTGGTGGATCTAGGTACGAAAGTAGTTCCATTGGATCCACAACATTGTCTGGCAAGAGCTGTAACATAACGCGCGTAATAAATTAATTTTAGCTAATTGTATTCTTATCTGTATTAACACGGCGAGGTGTGTTTCTCAGGTAGTACAAAACGAGTATACAAAGTGTTCCCACCCGTGGGAAAAATTGTAATGGGAGCTTCTAGAGGCCAAAATAAGGCAAAAATCAAGAATACTAATTTGTTGATGGAGGCTTTGTTAAAAAGTTATTAACATTTAAAGTTCCGCCCGTACTGAATTTTTTTCTCGAAAATGCGCAGGAATTCGGGGGTATGTTTATTGACTAAAAATTATTGTAATTGATCCCCGCAACTGAACATAATTTTTCCAGAACGATTTGAAATTTTTTTTTTTCCGCCATTTTTAATAATTTTGTTTGACACTGTACGGAAATTTTATCTAATACTTTTCTGTAGGTACCCATGAGCTCTACTCCAGAAAAAAATTTCATTGAAATATATTCACTATTGTAGGAGTTATGGCAGTTTGAAAATTGAACCATTTTCATGGGGTTCTTTTTCACTTTACGGGTTTAAGGAACAAGTTTTCGAATATTTTTGGAGCGTCTATATATTCTATACCAAAATACGCGTTGTTTGCATTTTGAAACTTTAAAATCCTTCAATCCGTTCAAAAGTTATGGCATTTTAAAGATACGCATGAAATTTCGAGGAACCATTTCAGGCCTCAGATTATATTTTCGGTGAGGAATTTTTTTCTCGAAAGTGGGTAGGATTTCGGGGGTATGTCTATTCACCAAAAATGATTATAATCGAGCCCTGCAACCAAAAATAATTTTTTCAGAATGATTTGAAATTTTTTAATAACTTTTTAAGAAAGCCTCAGTCAAGAAATTGATATTCTTGATTTTAAATTAAAATATGAATATAAATTTTTTGTTACTCACATTCAATGCTTCCTGACCTGTACCCTCGCCATCTATTACTGCAGCTGGATCGAAATTTAAGTCCGATGGTATATCTGCAGAATCGTTATTTATGTTTGTACTCGTACTACCAGATGTGTTATGATTTCCTGTAGATTCCTGAGATGCAGGAGGAACACTTGGTGGACCGCTATTTCCGCCACCTGGAGTGTGAGGTGTGTGAGGAGTGTGAGGCGTATGCGGCGTATGGGGCATCTGCAAGGTACAGAAAAAAAAACATAAATTATTACAAATATTTAAGGATTAAGAAGTGTAATAGTTTTGTATAACAGCTTTCAATTTACCTGATCGTTAAGTGACTTCTCCATAGCATTGAGAGGATCTAGAGAGTTTACCGATTCGTTTAAGTGTGAAAGAGGCCCTGTTCCGTTGGTGTAATCGTTATTAGTGTTTGTATTCGTTCCGGTATTAATATCGAAGGATCCCCCCGACGAATTCCGATGATTAATGTTGTTGTTTCCGTACGTAGACGATGGATTATTCATCATAGAGCCGCTTACAATACTGCTCATATCAGGCGGTATGTACGGGCTCATCGCCTGATTCATATCCCAGTTATTCATAGTGGGCATATTCATGCTTCCAGGTGACATTGCCTTGGTCATTCTCTTGCAATCGCTTTCTTCCTCGGATTTAATACCGGTTAAATTCTTCGCTGGCTTCCAATTCGCGACCGAGTCTATCGTAACTTCCTCGACCTCTGCGGCGTTCAAAGTGTTCAAAATGCCCCACATGTATTGGTCAACCTCTAAACCTTCCAATTGTGCAGGTTTCCTATAAGACGTACGCATAAAATTAACTCGATGTATCGACAAAAATCGAACAAAAATTCAAGGTACAAGAATTCATTGTAAGTCGGTTATGAAATTACTTACGTGCATACAGGACATCTCCAAGATCCCCTTTCGCAATTTAACTGTAGATAAGACTCTAAATCGAAGCACTGTATGTGTTTACAGTCATGTCCCCTTGCTGGCAGTGTAATACGTTTAAAAGTGATAGGACATTTTAAGGATACCTAAAGCAAGAGTAATTTATGCTTTAAAAAAATCTGCTCGTAGAACATTTCGTTTAGTATTCCGTCAGTATCGTTAAACTCGGCTCACCTTAAGTGCTGTTTGTTCTACGACATCTTTTTCTGACTGTATGCCATTATTGGAAATCGTATTACTAAAATTCCGTTTGATTTTGGTTATACAGTGTTCTGCCGTGAGTAGCCTTTTGCGTAACAATCCATGAAGTACGCTTCGTACGCTTGGTCGATGGACTAATTGCAGCACGAACAAATGCGACTGTAAACGATAAACGAATATATAGTTACGCATTCTACGGTGTTTTTACTTTGGTAAACGTCGCCCCAAACTTTGGCGTAGTTCGTTTTGTGAAAGTCACTTTCGTTTTTCGCGATCCGATCAAATGAAACAAAAACTTACACAACAACACGCCGACACGGTGATTTGTATCGTGTTCCTTCCTGCTTGACACACGTCCTTCAGGTATAAGGGTTTGTGAGACGTTTTATTCTCACCGCGATCGATAACCAACGGCGTTGCGTTCACAGAGACTTGCACGCTCGCTGGCCAATTCGTGTTCATTTGCCTGTCCTCGTGGTGGAAACACTTGAGCTGCAGTTCCAAGTCGGACCGCCACATCAATGTCTGATACACCGTGGACTTCAATTGGAACACGTGATTGCTTACAGCCAGATTATGTTCTAAGCGGAAGGGTGGAAGAATGATGCCATCCCTCACAGGGAATGTTAATCTTAACTCATCGTCCTCTGTGAACAGCAATAGAACACGCCGCGTTAAGACTAGGCACGATGAACAATATGGAAAGTAACAATTTTTCATATTGCATGCTTCCTTTCGTCGGGCTCGAGACGTTGGGTGAAAGGGATGGGGGGCAAATGGATCGTTGGAAAGTTAAGCGTGCAGATTCTAGTAAACGTTAGCCGCGTATAGGTCTAGGCTTCGAAGCTTTAACTTACTTTGAATGTTAACGGGTGACTTCATCTCGTTGAAGTTGGGCTTGATGTCTGGGTTAGGACTGATATAAGGGGGCATGCTAGTGGCCGGGGTTAACGGCGGAGTCGGATTGCCAGGGATAGGACTGTGCTGGTAACTCAGACTCCCCGCGCCCGTTGTCCTCATCGACGCCACATCCTGTTGATACTGGCTGGTCGTCGCGGCGGGTGCCCCGTACGAGGACGCGCCACCAGCGTATCCAGAATTCGGTTGGTGACCCACGAATTGATTGCCAACCGTGGTAGGTCCCATGCTAACCGGTATACCGTTGCTACCATAGTATTGGTTAGCTGCCGCCTGGCTGGCGGTGTTGTAAGACGGCGCGGTTTGCCTCATAGTGGTAGTCCGTATCATAGTGTTGGGCCCGAAGCCTGCGGCCGTGGGATTCATAGTCTGCATCTGCTGATACTGAGGCTGGAAGTTCGGCCTTGCTGCCGCGGTGTAGTTGGTCGGGTACTGCGATGTCGACATGCTGTTAAAGGCCGGTTGCATCGCGGCCGGATTCGGGCCCGCGTAAGGCCCCTGTTGCCTCTTTTGCGCCATGTGCATCGCGGGGGGTGGGTAAGGCGCTAATCTCCTCGGATACCCTTGGTGTGGCTGAGCCTGGAAACGTGAAAGGGTCAACGCGTGTTTCCTTTAATTTCTTTACTAGAGAGAGCTGGAGAGAATGCCCATGTATGGAACTCGGATTTAGCAATCGGAACTTTTTAACAAGATTTTACTGTTTATAGAATATCAGACAAGGGTATTCTTTATAGCTTCTTGTAGTAGAAGAAATAGACGATATTCGTCTTTAATAATCGAGAATAGGCCCTTTCGTAGGGTGGGCCAGCCAGGCCTCTCACAGGGGCCTCGATTGTACACAAAACAGATAGTTAAGACACTTTATGTTCTCATGATTTGGTAATATCAAGGTAAAGGGTTGACGCTTTTAGAAAAAAAAAACAATAATAATTTACGTACCTGCATGCTCATCTTGTTCATCTGCATGTTGTTAGGTCCCATCATATTGTTCATGCCCATATTACCCATGGTACTCATGGAGTTCATGGGGGTCATTCCGTTCATACCACTCATACCGTTCATACCTCCCATCGACATAGGATTCATCGAGTTCATGCCATTCATACTGTTCATCGAATTCATGGAATTCATAGAGTGCATCGGGCTCATCGTGCCCATGCTATTGAAATTGCTCATCCCGACTGGCCCCATTCCGGCCATTGGTCCTCTTTGGGCGTACCCTGCGTTGTACGTTTGGTGGGGTATTCCATGTTGGCTCTGCATCTGTAATCAACGACACCCTTTAGTTTCGATCTTATTCGTTTTTAGTTGGACGCGTGCAATTGTATCCGTGAAAATTATTCATTACACGCGTAGGTTAAGTGTTTGTATGAACAAAGGGTTGCGTTAACCTCGAACGGGTATACGTTAAGTGACATAGAGGAGGATAAAGACGGACAAACGGAACCATACCTGATTGAATTGCGAGGGGATGTCTTGGCGGTCCTGCATGGCCACCACGCTGGCAGTGGCGGTGGCCGTAGCGGTGGCAGCTGCCACCATCGCCGCGGCACTAAATGTCGAACCACCACTCCCGTTCTGGGGTGGCACCGTGCTATGATAGCCGGATGATAACACGGGCTGCACCCCAACGCCGATCGCCGCCGTTGTTGATGGTGTTCTTGTTACCAACTTCGTAAAAAACGACAACGATCGCGTGTCGCGCGGTACAGACGATTCACCGACAATCGGGGTGCTGAAACGAGACGAAGGTTGCATTTTAATAGACGATCCTGAGTCGAGGAAAGGTAGAAAGTCTCTCCCGTTCATTTTTAGACGAAGATTTGGATCTTATAATAATTTGTTCCGATGGTAATTTTGAGAAAATGATCTAACCAGCGAGGCGTGACCCCACGTTTATAATAACTCTGTTAAGCGCGGGTGGGGTGTACCATTCGCGGGAGTCGCAACAATCGGGCGAAACATCGATGCCAGAGCGATATAGATATTCGCTTTGTAGGTCAAATTCGTGTTCGAACGGTTCTGTACGAGTAATCGATTGTATCGCAACCGTTCTCTATTTTCTGCAGTGCAGCAATAATATACGACAGTTATTCATGACTGCTGAATTATTTGAGAAGGTCGTCGGCTCAAATCGCGCGCTACGTGGCAACTGCCCGAACCGCGCCGTAATCGACAATTGTTAATATTCATTCGTCGATGTTCAAATACCAACCGGTACGTATTCAGTTTCATTTGGCGCTTATCGGTGAAATTACCTGGCTCGCGATTGCTCCAAAATCAGCTGATTAAAATTCACGGAATTTTAAAGCCTCGTCCGCCCGAGGGAACCGCGAATTGAAAATGGGTAAAAGAAATAAAAAGAGAAACACGACGGTGCTCTATCGCCGACCGCGTTACATTTGTCGGCAGGCCTATCTGGAGTCGTTTAAACGAACGCGTAAAAATTCTTATCGCCATTGTAAAAACAAAACAGAAGTACGAAAAGAAGAAACGAACGACGCAGAACAGCGACTGAATATCATTCCGGACGATTTCATTAAAATTACCGTCGACTCGTTGTACTGTACAATACTCGAGTTGTTTCGAGGTTGTGAAAACAGAAATCAACCAAAATTACCGATTGTTCCCTGATTCTGCTCGATGTGTATAGAAATCAAATATACTCCGTAGTTCAGAAACGCGAAGGAAGACGGTTGCTTTTGTCGTGCCCTTCTATCGATGTATCCAGACTCGAATATTGTTTGTCGAGTAGTATTCTCGTTTCTGTCCCCGTTCGAGACGCGCGTACCCCAAAAGACCGAAAGACAGACCGAACCCCGCGCACCGTTCATATTCCCAGCTGGCCAAGGCCCCTATTGGTTTTCTGTGGGAAATGCACGTGCTCGCTATTCACACACCGTAGCTGCGCTTACAATACCGTTCTGCTACAAACACCGCTTGCCGGTGCAATTGCGCCCGTGAACCGAGCCTCTCGATCGTTTTTCGACTTGTTCGATATATTTGCCGCGGAATCTCGGCGACCCGCGGCGCTTTCAAACCTCCAAAATACGCACGACACGCATACATACACGATGTTAAAATTGGTACAGTTCAAACGATCGAGTGTAGACCGGTAGTACGAATCGACCCTCTTCAAAATTCATGTCGTGGACGATTAATAATTTGTGCTGTTTGTCGTAGCACTCGCGAGCATTTCGCTCCGAAGAACTTGGCGCTATCTGTTAGAAAGTAACGTATGCTCGTTAACGGAGAAGAGTTATGCATAAAACACGCTCTCAAGTCCAAAGTTGTTTACGAAGTATGTATACCGATATCACAAAGACAAGGAAGTTGAACGGTACGTAGCAGGCTGCGCTATTGTACGGTAATTAAAGTTAGAGCTCCCGATGGGAGTCGAGAGGAAATTGCTCAGAAACGTGAAAGAAGTTACGAACAAGGGTATATGATGACCATTGTTCTATGTAATGTTCGAAACTCGGCGAGCCACGTGAAAGAGTGCACCGTGTGTATCGTAGCGTATCCTCCGCGATATCGCGTTACCACGTGCACGTTGACACTCTTGCGCGTGCTCCTGGCCGTTCTATAAAACGACAGCGGATATCTGCGCAAATGCAGAAATATCGGCGCTCTTTAATTCGCCGTTCGAACGACCTCCGATCCGTCATACTTTCCACCGGATGATAATTAAGCGGATTATAACCCTTTTGTCTACTTCCTGGCGAAAGTGACGCCCCCCTAAAATTCTCTTCTGCAACTTGACTTAACACTGGACATATTTTTTTGAAACTAAAAATACGGTAATCAAATATATTATTTATATAATACATTAAATTCTCAGATAAGTTTGTCGCGATCAAATATTTTGCGGGACTCCCGTTTTTAACCGTCGTCGTTCAATGTCGCGTGGAATAAAACCGTTACGATCGAGGAACGAGAGAAACGTTAGAACTAGAGAACGGAACAGAGAAGGAGACGAAAATCTTGTTAATCGTTTGCTAAATAATTTTTTCGACGCTCGCCTGACCCCGGCGGTTTTCAAAGTCAACGGAAGAGGGACGCCTCTCTCGTCGCCAGAAGGAAAGAGAGCCTTCTCTCGGAGCGCGGTGTCCTCGAGACGCGATTATGGCGCATCGAACAAAAACAAATTCCGAATAATAGTCTCCCGGTTGAATTCAATACGTCGGTGGTGGTGGAACACGTCCACTCGTACCGTCGTTCGTATACACACATGTACGCATACGTACGGGTGTCTGTCGGCATATAGGGTGTTCGTAAACGGATACATTGGAGCCCAGTGACGAAACTGCCGAGAGAAACTTTTTTAACGTTATATTTCGAGCGATTCCGTCGAGTCGCAAACAGCATTGTAAACAGTAAATCAAATTTCGTTTCGAATTCGGCGATATACGAATTTTAAGAAACACGAATCTACAGATTCTTTTCTTACACTGTTTACAGTTCGCGAATGACTAAGACTTGCGGTTAAAAAATTTATTTTTCTGGAATGACCATTTCTGTTTACTTAAGATCCCCTGTAACATCTTGTACACGAAGCCTGAAAATATGCTCGACTATTTTATACAAAAAAATACGTTTCAGGATTCTGTTATCGTGGTTCGATATACGAGTGCAAATGAATGGTGTCCACATGGTCGATTGTAATTAACATTGTCGCAAAATCAATACCGAGTATACCGACGCACGAAATCCGTAAAAAGATACGCGTCGCGAATAATTCGTTGCCCGCCGGTGGCTTCCCTCTGCGAAATCATCGCAGTCATCGTCCCGTATTAGATTTCCAAGACACCCTGTACATATGTATACACGTAACGTACTTACGTCCAGATATAGCACGTACGGGGAGCATTTCGAAGGTTGACGTCATCCGAGGTCCCACCCCCTTTAAATTCGTGTTGAATGCAACTCTGTGAGAAAAGTAAGAGAGAAAAAGAGACCCGTCGATGTATATGCCTTTTCCCTTCGGCCGTCTCTGTTCTCCCTTACCCTGACCGTATATTCCTTCTCCCCTTCTGTCTTCCCCTCCGAATAGAGACTGGCGGCGGGGTGGGCCCCTTCTGTAAAGCCCGCAACGGGTTTCTATTCTCGGATGTCAATATTTCGTCAACTAGAGCCCACTCGGCACGCAACAAAAGACCCTACACACAGCTTGCGTGGCTGGCGTGAGAGAAAGAAAGGAAGAAAGGCCCGTCAGCGTCCGTGATTCGTTCGATGGTGTGTTTAGAAGAGGATGCAACGGCGAAACAGAGGCGTACACGGGTGCGAATGCGACGCCTAGCGGGGAACCGAATACGAAGCACATTAAATTATTATTAACACGTTCCGTGCGGAGAATTTCAAATTCCACGCAGAAACAGAAATTCTCAGATTTTTTTCTTTTTTTGAGAGTAACACGCGTGTCTGTTAATAACGACGATGGCATTCAGATGGCGTCTGTAACATAACGTTTCCTTAAAAAATGTAAGCGTAAGTGGGTCAATGCCACTTTCAGAAACGCAAAAGTAGAATTCAAGGGACACGCGACTCAGAGTGCAGTGGCGTACGTAGAATGTTCTTGCGATGGCGATTTTTAAAAGAAGCTATTTTTTATTTTGTATTAATTTTTTTATGTCGTACCGATCACGTGTACGTACGGAGTTACGATAGTTTCGAAATCATTCGCATATTCATGGAGACTAGCCTAAAGGCTATTTACCCATTTACAGAAACCGAGGAGGCGACTAATGCCGGCGATGCGTGTCGAGGTGGAGGCGAATAATATCGAGCGAGGAATCCTTGTACGAGATAAAATGGGTCTCTCACGGTCGTCGCGCGTCGACATATAATAGCCGCGTTCTCCTCGCCTGGTACACCGTGAACTCCTATCTGAACCGCACTTTAATAAATCCAATTCCGATCATCGTCTACGTCGATCCTTGTCCATAATTTCGCGCGAATAAAGTAACCATAACCGATGAATAAACGCTACTCGATTTGATCAGATTTGATACGCCAACGTTGTTTGGATCGAAAGACGTCTCTTCCAGAGATATAAATTTTTATTAAATAAATAAAAGATCGAAATCGTGTGCACGAGCGTAGCCATGGAGAACTCGTGGTGTAGTCTAGCTATCGGAATTACACACGTCGCCCCGTTGAACCGGTCTAAACGCACCTTTAACGGGCGTGACAAAGAGACGGTGAACGAGCGCGGGAGTAAGGAGGACAAAAAACGAACACGCCGCCGGATGCCGATCGCAACACTTCACTAAAATCAGGACAACGAGAGAAGGAGGATGGGAACGAGGATTCGAGAGAGTCTCGAGAGCTCCGAGACGCCCGAGCCTCTGCGACACGTAAACAAGAGCGTGTGTCCGAGGTCGACTCGCGAGGAGAATCGTGGGAGGAATTCCTACTTTTTTTTCTCCGAGGGCTTAGGAGAGAAGTCGACACGGAGAGAAAGAGAGAGATATCAAGAGAGAGCGCACGGAGGAGGGAGGAACAACGCAGAGGGCTTTGATCTCGACTGCTGCATCTCGTCGTTATTTTCGGTACGAATCGCCGGAGACAAAAGCATTTTCATGGAAATCCTCGTACCTCGTTTCGCGAAAAGGCTAACGTTTATCACGTTCGCAAAAACTTAATTCGAACGATATTCTCTTATTCGCTATTCGAGAAATTTTATTCGAATAGTGTACGAGGTTCTCAGGATTAATCCTTCCGATACGGTGAGCT